AATAGATCAATAAAACTATCAGCAGAAGAACCTGCTTTAACGAGTTCAGTTACCCTAGGTATATAAAAGATTCTCACATGTAACTTTCATTGTAGTAGAATATCCATTTATTTCCATGTTGTAGATATGCAATGTTATAATTCAACATCAAAGCGATTTTTTGACTTTTGAGTGGAAACGGGAGGCGTATTTTGTCTAATTTAAATAATGGAAAATATATGCCGACACTTTATCGTTATAAAAGTTTCGTTCCCACTGTAAAGATACATGAGAAAACCCGTTGCCCAAAAGCTATAATTAACGCCCTTCAAACATCAGCATGATGACTATATATATGGGTGAGCGACAACTGCTTGTTTTCTCTGTTAAATATATCAAGTATCGACAAAGGGAGATTGTTAACGAGAGGCTTGGTGACTTGCCTTTTGTGAAGTGGATTGTCTTGGTGGCTCGAGTTGACAGTGGCTCTTAAAAGGCTTCTTCGAATTGATGTCCACCAGTGACTTGTCTAAGTGGTTTGTCCATTAGTACATTTGGGACATTCTTTGGTGACTTGTCTGAGGGCAAATACTATTCGAATGTAGAGAGTAAGGAAGTTATTCTTTTTGTTCCTCTCTATATACACGCGCTTCGTTCTATAGTGTATATGAGTGAACTTCATTCAAATCACTTCAAAAGATATACGCTGACTCATAGCAGCGATGAAAAGTGTTAAAACGAGGATGTTAATGAAAACTGAGAATTTGATTTTGATCATAGTCTACAAACTTACGCAGAATTAAAATCAGTACCTACGTCTAATATCCTACATGAAAGTTATACACAATGCTATTATGATTATCAAAGCAGTTTTCAACAATAGAATGAAAATTTGTCTATTGTTAGTTACACCGTAGTTACAAGCTAATGAACTTACTTATTCTTCCAAGTGTTTTGAAATACGACAGGCGATTGTCATTGTCAAGAATCGATTAGGTTCATGTCCTTCTTGAAATACATAAATACATTAGTAAATCCAAATGAAAGACTCTTCATGTTGTGATGAAGTTTAAAGAAATGAAGTTCTTACTAGTCTTCTTTGTCCTTCAGAAGTCGATAACATTCGTATCTAATAGGACTTTACTCTTTTTTTAACTTCTTCGTTTTACTAAATAAGAAGTTCTTTACAGAAAATATCCAGGTAACCTCCCGAATGTTTATCGTTGTCGTTTTGGAGGGAAAGGTTCTTTCTAACGCTGTGAACGATCGGTCTGTTAATTTTCAATCATCGACGAGCTCGTCGGTGCATATTATTTGTGTATATTATGGATTTAGAAGCAGGCTATTGGCAGATTCCCATTGCTGAAAAAGATAAGAAGAAAACAACATTTGTAACCACGGATGGCCTATATGAGTTCAATGTACTACCATTTGGTTTGTCAAACGCACCAGCAACATTTCAAGGTGTCATCAATTCAGTGCTAGGCATATTACGATGGGACATTACGCTGGTTTATTTGTATGATATTATTATTTATTCACCAACATTTGAAAAACATGTTGCTTACTCCTTCGTTCAAATGGCACAATTCTATCGATGTTTCATACCCAAGTTTTCAACTATTGCAGCTGCACTCAACGTATTTAAAAACAAAAATGTTGCATTTGCATGGGCAAAAGAATGTCAAGAATCTTTTGACACACTAAAACACAAATTATCACAATACCCATTATTAACATTTGATGATAGAAAATCAAAATTAACTCTCAAATTAAATACAGATGCATTAAATGTGGGTCTTGGTAGTGTTTTACATCAAGTTATGGAAGATGGTAAAGTCAAACCAATACAATATCCATCAAGATCATTGTCACCAAGAGAAAGGAAATATTCCAACCATCGAAAGAGAATGTCGGGCCTTCGTTTGGTGTATCACAAAATTACGCCCATATTTATATGCACGACATTTTACAGTCATCACCGATCATCATCCATTATAAATAAAGATTGAGTATAAAACTGCTACAAAATACATTTTCAACTTAAACTAAATTCACGTGTTATTTCGTTTATTTTCGAGCTTTCTGTATGTACCCATACCATCATCAGGAAAACATTTGAGCAGTTTTATACTCAATCTTTATTTATTTATTCTCAAGTGCTCCTCAGACAAGTTAATCATCCATTATGTTGGCTTAACAAAAAATCCTCCAAAAATGGAAGACTGGATCGGTCGTCGTTACAATTACAAGAATATTCCTTTGATATCGAACACACATCTGGAAAAATCAATTGTGTTGCTGATTGTTTATCCAGATATCTCGTTGAAAAAACCAGATGATATTGCTGAAGAACAGTTAAATTTAATGGTTGGTCGAATAAACAACATTCAACAGGTGAACATGACCAATGAATCACCATTTGATTCAACTATCATTTGGCAACATCAGTTGAACGATTCGAAAAGTAAATTGCTACAAGATAAATTAAAGAGCAGTAGCCAAATAAAATCACTTGAATTAGAAAATGGTATAGTTTATTGTTAAAGTGTAGAACTATACAAATATTTAAAACAATAACAAAATTTATCAGAAAAACTTCATGTTGAATTTCGGAACGAACTTTTTAATAGAAAATAGTCATGGATTTTTCCAAATAATAAAATTAATATCGGATTGTTGTTCCGCATCCAAACTTATCTAAATATCAAAAAATTTGACAAAGAATAACGATTAGGTAGGATAATATATGACGATGGTAAAGTGTATTACTAATTCAACTTTGTACGTATGTTTCCCAGTTATAACTGCACAGCAACCGCACCAGCAAAAAACCTCCTGTAAAAGATTCAAAATAATTATTTGCAATTAATTTATTCCGTCATTTTAAACGATTCATGTCGAGTTTTTGTTCAAGTAAATAAATAAGAATAGATCGATGAGACTTTAACAAAGGAAAATTAAAAAAGGTATTTGTGAGAACTAATAACTCTGTGACAAATGTAAATTGATCATTGTGGGTTTCTTATATTAATCTGAATACCTTACCAGTTGTTAAAATGTAAGCTGCGTATCGATAATTATTTGTGGAAGTCTTTTCGTATATTCACCCTAGTCGTTTTGATTTCTAAAAGAAGTAGATGGATTTATTTTATTTCATTTACTCTTCCTTTTTGATCAATTATAGTCTGCTTTAAAGCTCGTTTAGCTTTAACGAACGACGGCTTTAGCTAAAACGGTTTTTAACGTATGACAGAAACTGGTGACATGGTAGTTAGGCATGCACCAGTTCCAATCTTAGGCTTGGAGGATTGGTACAATCAGGATTGGTACCAAGCCGGGATTGGTACCAGTTAGGCTTGGTACCAATCCTGACTGGAGATTGGTAGGATTGGTACCAATCCTGACTGGAGATTGGTAGGATTGGTACCAATCCTGACTGGAGATTGGTAGGATTGGTACCAATCCTGACTGGAGATTGGTAGGATTGGTACCAAGCCTGACTGGAGATTGGTAGGATTGGTACCAAGCCTGACTGGAGATTGGTAGGATTGGTACCAAGCCTGACTGGAGATTGGTAGGATTGGTACCAAGCCTAACTGGTAATAAGCCCGACTGGTACCAATCCTACCAATCCCCAACCGGATTGGACTGGTGCATGCCTAATGGTAGTATTATTCTTATTTCTAGCTTTAGCTTATGTTGGTGAGTATTCTTTCGAATTGTGGTTTTTGTGCGTCCACCATCCTATACATCGCGTGTCCTACTTTATAGCGGCTGCAGACAATCATCAAGTCGCCAGCCATAAAAAAAACGTTCAGAAAATGACTTTATCGGAATTGCTGGAGAATCGAAATACTGAAACAAATGAGACGTGTAAGCTGTTTTTGATATAGAAAAACGCTAATTATTTTATTTCAATATTCATCTTGCCTTGAAACTCAGGCGTTTATAAGTGAAAATGATGTAATCATCTACGCACTTTCGATTTTTTGTGCTAACATAGAGGCTTTACGTGGCAACAATCACAGGAATTTGGGATAAGTTTTTTATTTGTTTCTGTGAACCAGTAACAAATGTGGTAGAGATTGGACTACGGATTCTAAGTGTATTGATGACTATTTCTTAATTTCACTTTGCAACTATACACATTTGAAAGCTCATGAAAGTTTTCTTCAGAAAAAAAAGTGATTTGGTAACCAGAAACAGCTTACACATGGTCTAATTCAATACATTCCGATAAACTAGCTCCACCAACACCCTTGGCGATCTGATGACAATACATTGAAAGGAACAAGACAAGGTAACTGTAATCCACATATGATATTATTTTCAACAATAGTTCCACTTCCTCCTTACGAAATAGTCGCTGTTTTCTTGATTGGAGAATATGGCAGACGTATCATCGAAGCTGTAAATTTGTGGAGCAGGTTTTTCTGTAAAAAGCTCAGATAGTCTGATTGAAACTGAGAAAGACGATAGCTTTCTAGTCATAGAAAAATTCATTAGAAGAGCTCCATTGAGACATAAAGGTGGGAAAGAAAAGTATCTGTATCGTCCGCGCTTTGTTCAATACTTATCCATTCATCATCAGATTATTGGACTTTCGAAAGCGGAACCTTCAGAAAATAGAATAATGTTAGCACACTATATTTCGATAGAGAGGATTCGAGCATTTCCAGGTTGCGAAGCAAATAAATCCATAACGGACACTTATATCATCGACAAATATGCATCGAATATAAAAGAAGGATTAAAGTACAATCATCGATAATGGTCTGCTGGATTTTGGTTGTTGCATGTTAAGGCAATGTGAATGTGTCCCCCCTTCGCAGATAAAGTCAGGCTTTATCCAAAAACTTTTCTAACCACGTCGTTGGATAGAGCGCTCAATTTTGAATAAATCAGATGTTTTGCAGATTTTTTCAACTTGTGATGACTGAACTAGTGGCTTTACAAAATGTGCATGTGCGAAATTTGGGTTTGCAGTTTCTAATCGGGTACTTTTCGCATTTTTAATGCTAATTTTGAACGACCGATCCTAGAAACGTCACTTCTGTTGAAAGAGAATTTGGAATAATCTATCAGATATGTTAAGATCTATCAATAACTTCTCTTTACTTCTAGCTTTAGAAGAAGATACAAGCCGCCTTATCTTAAATAGTTAAATCTAAATCGGGTCACGAGAGAGTGGTGAAAATTGTTTTTATGCACATTTGAGTAGATTAACTTAACCAGCGAGCTGTTAAATTAAAATAAACCATCTTTTCAGAAACTAAATAAAATCATAGAGCACTTTGCGTAAAGAAAAGATACAAAGTGTAGAATGAGTTTTGTTTTCTAGGGATTGGATGACTTCTATATCCAAGTCCTCGCCTCTGCGCCGTGTGTATAAGATATAAAGTAGATCTTGTATAGTGCTCGTTATATCACTTCTTTTCAAAAAAAACTACAACTACTACCGAATCTTTTTCGGTAAAAAATAAGAGTTTTGATCTCAAAGCAATGTTTTTGATCTCCAAATCAGACAGGACTCAACTGATGCTCACTACAGCCTAACGGCAAAGTGAACTTACACCGAGGAAACTCATATTCTTCTGGTCTATTTCTTACTTTCGCGTGGTCATTCTAATATGACCGCGCCTCTGGAATTACTTTTTCTAACTATACATTCAAAACCCGAAACATAGCACACTTTGTCTTTATATTTTCGCAAAACTAAATTTCCAACAATATTTAAGTTTGTAAAAAAAGCCATTTGCGATGTATATTGTGATCTTATTTTAATTGATTTCAAGGGGTTATATTTATTTATTGATACTTTTATATGCTGCTGATGTTCTTTAGCACGTGAGCGACCTGGTTTTAAACGTTTTGCTAAGAATGCTTGTAACGATCGACTTAAACGTTGTTTAAGACGACTTTATAAAGTGGTTCTCATTGAGATTAAAAAACATCTAATGACTGAAAAAGCACTTTTACAGACGATCTTCATCCTTCTGCAATTTAGAACTGCGAGCAAATTTCTTCAAAGTCATAAAACTAATGTGACACGGACCGATGGAGCCCTCAAGGACAGGTGAACATAAATTATCGAACACGCAAAGTGTTATGAAACGTGATAAAGGCTACTTTTGGTGAAATGATGCATTTTAGACTATTTCCATGGAATAATGAGAAACTCATAACTCACTTAAACATGAACTGTAGCAGCTAATTTTAAATTCGTCCATGGATTTAAAAATAGCTGCTGTTATTATCTCTACAGTTCTAAAATTCTTACGGGTTAATAAACTTATCACTTAGACATTCCAAAGTTTCACCATTCTCTGTACTTTAGCCGCTTTGCATGTTGATAAACGTTGAAGCGCGGTAAAATCAAAATCTCGAAGGATTTTTAGTGCAAAAATTCAGACGTATAAACAGGTCAAATACTCACCGTTCGTACTGCACGCATTCAAAAAAGTTAGGTATAAAAGGTTTCAAAGCTAAATAAAGGATCAGGTAACCGTCCCTAGGATGTTCGCAACCGTTCCTAAACTACAAAAGATAAAGCTCTTGATTGATGTGTATTTAAAAGAGGAGGCTTTAGGTAGAACCGTAAATTTTGTGACCCCTCCTCCCCAGAGACAAAAACTAATCCTTTCCTTCCAGTGGAAACTAAACGTCTTTCTGCTTTGTTACACAAGAAAAATCACATTAAGTGACAAGTCCCTCGTAAACCTTGAAAAAAAACGAAAAAAAGACGCGAAGCACATTGATGATATAATTAATTAAAGAAAAATGTGTATTTTTAAAAAATCTGTGTCAAAAATACATGTGGTGTTTAAAAATAGCTTTTTATATACGTAGCTTTTCTTTTTTGATTTTAGTCAAATAAAAAGGAATAGATGACACCTTGGTCTAGTTAACACTGTCATAAAAAAGAAAAGAAGTAGGGCTTTTGAAGTCGTTCCATCTCCTCCTCTGACTCAATAGTCACTGTAGTTACCCAATTACCCTGCACAATACGTAGTGCACCTGATCAATCTGCTCATACCATTGGCATATTGGGAAGGCCAATACTCTATTTCTGTGGTGGTTTTATCAGTGGCTCTTCTGGAATCGCTATGGGGTGTAAAGGGTTAAAAGATTTAATATATGTTTTTTTACATGTAATATTGACCCAAATGTTCAATCTTTATAACAATATTTTTCTGTTTATTGTCAAAATTATTACTCTAGACACATTACATGATGGAAAAAAGGAATAATTTTTAAAAAAGGAAAGAATAATAATAATAAAAATGTCTAGCGTTAATGTTCTGTACTATATCTTTCTGTTCATCTTTTTCTCCTCGTTCATAATTTTAGCAGAAGATAAAAATAGACTTTTCTTCGCGATTCATTATGATAAAGAGGAAAAAAATAAAATGTGTTATCCTAAGGCAATAAAAATAATTAAAACAAAAAAAAAGCAAATACGTAAGTAAAAGAAAACAAATCAGAGTTTATTATGTTGTAAAACAAAAAAGATTTATGTGTTATTTATGCATAGTGTTATTGTGTGTTTTTTTTTTATTTACATTTGTTGATTTTATTCTTGAGTCATGTCATCTTTAGTATTTATTGTATTGATAGAAACGCAAAAATGTTCATTAGAATAACAGATACAAAAAATTCAAACAAAAAGAAAATTGTAGATCATATTTGAAATATATCAGAAAACAAAAAATGTTCATATGTCATGTCATTCATTTTTGACAGACATTAGTCGATAAAAATTAAAGAAAGAACAAGAAGAAAAAAAGGTGACAATGTCTTTTAATTCCGAATGTCCTTTTTTTATTTAGACTATCTATCATGAAAAAGTCGAGGACCGACAATACAGCTACCCGACATTACCACTACCACACGTAAACCCGTGTGGTAGCGATAATGTCGGATAGCTGTAATGTCGGTGAATCGAAAAACTATAATCATTTCATTTAACTTCTTAACGGTTGACTATTTTTATTATATAGACAGGCAAGTTAACTATAAAAACTATTTACTCATTGACGTTGGTCATACTTTTCAAATATCAATGTTGACGTTTCTGTTGACTATTTTTTATAAATATTAAATTTTAAAAATTATTAAAATGTCAATTTGTTCACATTTGTTGCAAGACATAATTATTTTATCTATTATATAGATTCGTATTCTGACAGACAAGAATACAACAAACAGTTTTCTATCATTTATTTTCTTGTCTCTTTCATGTTAGTAATAACAAAAATGCAGCAAAGTGAGTTCGCAAAATAAAACAGTATTTGAAATCACAATCAAAATCAAAAAACACTGTCAAAAATGATGAGTCTTCTATAAAAAATGTTTTTTATCAAAATTAGCCTCTTTGAGCCAGAAATACTTTTAAACATTTTTAAATAATATTCATCTGTACCGTTTTATTTGCTCTACATTCAGAAGTATAGATATAGATAAGAAGCCACATTGTAGCGTTCATCAGCTATGCTTCTGCCTGGCATGCCTCAGGAGCACACAAAAATTTCTTTAAGAAGAATTATCATCATATTGAATTAGACGTGTATCGAGACCGACCTTTTCGTTCTCGATCTCAGTTTTCTCGCCTCGATGTTTCTCAGTTTGAGATAACCAGAGGCCGAAAAAACTCGGAATTAAGAATCTTACCTCGAGACTCTCGGTATATGCGTACACTAGGCCCAAGTAAATCTTTTTCTCATCTAAATGACATATTTTCGTTTAAAAACACAAAGGTTTTGTCAAAAGAATACAAATATTTGACGAAAAATTCTGCATTTTAGCGAAAACGCATTATTTGAATGCAAAAATTCATTCAAATGCGATATTACAATGAGGAGCTTTTTGAAATATTTCTCCATACATCTCAGATCTTCTTCAGCTATGAACATAGCCAATAGGATTGGGCTTAAGGGTATGCGGGACTGGGACCAGACACAATTTTTCACAGGGCTAAGATCGGGACCGGCACCAACGTTTTACATAACTTTAAAAAATTTTTAAAAAACCACTAAAAATTAGGAAGAAACGAGTCTCTCTAAAACACATTTCATCGAATCTTTAAAAAGGCTTTTCCTACAATGAAAAATTGTTTTATGTAGTTCAAAAAACTAATAGATGTAGATTTTACGGTACTGACAGAGACCAGAACTAAAACAATTGTTTTACAACACTGTGATTCGAACTAAAAAGCTTGGTCTCGCACAGGTCTAGTATACTACCACAGTTCCTGAACGAGGCGGAAAGGGAGCTAAGCTCCGCTTTACAGTGTGCATTCAGGCGAATATTATGTGAAAAATTGAATGCGCAGTTTTTGAAGATTTACATAGTGTAAAATCTATATCAAAATATGGTCTAGTTAACGGCATTAAAAAATTTATTTCAATTACCATATTTAGTGGGAAAACACATAGTGAAAATTTTAGCGAAAATTATTGTCCTGCGAAAAGAAATGTCAATGACACCGAGGTAAGTAAAGTTCATCAATATACCGCAGATTAGACCAAGACGGCAGCAACAACAACAAAATGATGTCCAATTTAATTATGATAAAAACATTCCTTCGATATTATCAAAATTAAAACATTTTGTATTCTTCTCTATTTTTACTGC